GATCCTGAGATAGGATTACCTTCCTAGCAATTCCAACTGCTACGTTGAAGTCCTTAATAGTAGAGTCCTTGGTAGTGATCTCTCTCTTTTTCTCCTTTAGCACAGGTCGAAAAGGAAGGGTTGCCGATCTGGGGGAGATAGTCATTTCATCCTCAACTAATTTCCATCTTTTTGGGTCTGGGTCTTCGGCAAGCTCAAAAATGGAATCATCTTCAAGTGGAAGGGTCTGGACAGAAGTAAGGGGATTCAGATCAACCGGAATTAAAGTTTCATGGTTTAAAGCCACATTCGCCTGGTCACTGCTCGAGATATCTGTATTGATTGGGGGAGCATCCTCGGGAAGAACCTCGACGGCAGAATCAAATCGGGGCACAAAAGTTGTTACCATTTGTTCAGAAGGAAGGGTCGACTCAACCGTTGACAGAAAATCCAAAAAATTCTTTACCATTTTACGACCAGATGCAGCCAGTGAAGTTCTCTTTTTTCCTCGGGGTGTTTTTTCCCTAGCTGCCTGGATGGCCTCCCAATCTTCTGCAAGAGTTGCATTGGGTCAGTTCGGCACGACAATAAAAGAAGAGTAGGACGGACTGTATTCGAGTAGAGTATGAGCAACTCGGCAGAACAACGACTCATTAAAGTCCCAAACCTTCTGAAGTTGATCCAACTTGACAGAAGACTCAGGAATTTTACCTTTGACGGTTTCACCTATGCAGAAGAAAATTCTCAAAAAAACATAAAACAAAAGCAAGTTAAAACAAGAGATAAAGGGATATCAAATACCTGGCATGCCCTCTTCATAGGGACAACGATACGAAGGAACAGCACTGACGACATACTCCCAATTCCCAGAAACAAACACTATGTTATTCTCATGGCCTTTGTTGAAATCTGGGAGGTGGGTGACTAAGTAGCGATCCTTTTTCCTCACAAATAGATAGAAACTATCCCCTGCTGCTTTGATAATGTAGCAGTATATGATCTCCCACAGCCCAAGACTCAAGTTCAGAATCTTGTTCAAAGAAGCTACCCCCATGACGATCCTGAAAAATTTCAGATAACACTAAAGGGGGTAGAGCTTCGCAGCAGAGAGTACCCAGATCAGAAGGGGATCAAGAGGGAACCGCATGCCTCCCTCGGTGATAGCTCGAGTAGGGATGGGGATTGATTCCCTTGTACCTGTTAAGGGTTCGCCTTTCCCAGCGACCCCCACTTCTACGTCATCTGGAATATTATATTTGATTTTGAAGGCGGGAACCTCAGAGGGAGTAAGAGGAGCCATTGGAGCTAAAGAAATAAGGCAGACTTGGAGAAGACGAAGTACAGAGAAGCAAAACAGAGAGAGGATGGGAGTCTGAAGGCAGAAAAAGCAAAGTGAGTAAAATTCAAAGAGAGGCGGTTTATGAAGGAAAGGAATCTTAAAGGCAATATTTAAATACTCAGAATGTGCCGCCAAAGCAAAAGGGGAAGTTACGAAGTACAAATAATGATGACGAAAAGATGAAAAAATGGCTGACAGATGAAAAAGGTCTGTTTGACGTTTTTCTGGGGGCAAATGAAGGGGTTAGCCCTCATGATGACACGTGTTACAACATTAAATAAGCTTGCGTGAGCTTGACAAGAGCAGTCATGTGACAAGGATATTCACCCAGTCTTGAGGACCGAGCCGAACAGATCAGTTCGTTTGACAAACAAAGGAAGAGTTAGGTTCTCTTGATGGTCGAACTCATCAACCTGTCTAGCTAAGCAAAGAAAGAGCTTGGCTTGTACCAAAACGAGTCCGTTAAAATGTTCGGCAAGGTAAGTGAAGAGATCAGTTTGTACCAAACCAAGCTCTTAATATGTTCGACAAATGTCAAGTGTGCTCGGCATTCGATATGAACGAGTTGTTTCAAATGATAAACAGAAGGATAAAGATTCGCCTATAATTTAGGCAATCAGATAAACGAATTAAAGAAATTGAAGATATCAGAAGAAAATAATGGAGAAATATCAGCAACTTCCTAAACTTAATGATTGAATCTAAGGAAGGTGTGTCACCTTGAATCAAGAATGACTAAAACCCTAAAGGGATGGCCACCTATAAAAAGCAAAAGGAACCAAGGGGAAAGGTACGCCGAACTCTCCTAGACCTAGTACCATTCTTTTTTTTTCATTACTAACTTAAGAATCGGAGTGTCTTCGATTGAAGCACTTCGATCTTAGGCAATTTGTTTGTTTTATAGAAAGGAGTTGAGGAGATTGTTCAGGCTTCGTTCCCAGAAATCGTATCACATATTCACATATAGAGACATAACCAATTTTCTGCCTCTACACTTTCTGTTTCACTTATAACTTTTAAGTTTAAAGAGAAATTTTCTTAAATAGATACTATTTCACAGTTTTTCTTATGCATACGAGACTTTTAATATTTATAAGAAAAATTTTCAAAAATTTCTTGTTGCTCAACGAGACAGTTCAGAGCGCCCATCTAATTTAAAACCCAGAAAACCATGAACATCTGTGAACAAGGACATGAAGGAAGATATTGAGGGAATTTTTTGGGGCTTTGTTTGGATTTTTTGTGAAGTGGAAAACCCAGAAATTAATTGGTGTTCTAGCATTGTTCTATGTTTCACCATGGACGGCCAACACGTAAAAAAAATTGTTTGGAATTGGTTAAAGGTTAATTTATAAACCAAATATGATACTGGATTAAATAGACTAAGGACGTAATAGTCGATGAAACTATATTACATCACCCTTATCCGCAGGACTCATAAATGTGTTGTGCTACCCCTGAACAGGACCGGATACAATCCACTTTGACGAAAATGAAGTTTTTGAGTTTTCTTTGATCTTATACATCGATATGGTTCTAAAAATGTTATATACAATAGGGTTGTAAAGATTTGGTACCAAAACACACCAACAGTATGATTAGAAAAATCGACAAAACTTGAAATTTCTGGTACTTGAAATGGAGGTTTTTAATTCGAAAAGAGGACATCGTCCAATGTTTCTGTAGTCCAGGAAATCAAATATGATGTTTAATTTTAGAAATAATGATGTTTTGGTAGTGAATTTTGAAGTTTCAAGTTTGAATTTTTGTAGGTATTGATGGCTGAAACTTTAAATTCAGATTTACTTCTTTTGTTTTGAAGGAGGATCCGATTTGGAACTATGGTTTATACCATTTTAATCCTTGTTTAACGACCTTTCCAAAAAAAGTATTATACGATCCGTTTGGACGTAACTCGAATATAGAACTAAAAAAGTAATTTTACTTAATTTTCGATTAAATCCAGACATAGAACTTTGGGATTTTTTGAATTCAGTTCATTTCATGTATAAGAATATTAATTGACTTTTTTAAATGAATTTTATGAAATAATCTCATTTGTTTTATTTATAATGCTGGTATTGATTTTGAAAACACTGATTCGAAGTAGGTTTTTTCTATTCCGAGACAAGCATGACTTTTCCATCCTTACATAATCTTTTTATGTAATTTACATAATTATATGATTTTTAAGAAGTGTTTTGATAATTGAGACATGACTAACTTGATTCGATTATGTATTTTGAAAATTTATACATTTGTGATTTTTCAGATTCAATTTTTGAGAAAATGGATTTTGATTTGATATGTGTCCATGGATTGAACAACGGAGGGCTTATGAATGGCGTTGATACCGTAATGGGTGTCAGGTGGTTCATTCACTGGTCATGGAGCCCTAGTGGCCCTCGGGCTTGGGTTACGGTTGACACACGGAGGAGCATATCTTCTTAAGGTAAAAGTCCCTAAATAGATTGGTATGATTAAATTGACATTGTGATGTCTTAGAATTGATTACTTGTTCAATAATGTGGCACCGTATTTAAAATATCGAATAAAGAATAATTTTTATTTTGTATTAAGTGAAAATGTTTGGATACTAACGATTATTATATTTTCTAACTATGTTATTCTGAAACATGACTTACCTATTGAGCTTATCATGCTCACCCTATGCTGTTTATGTCTTTTTAGAATTTATTGAGAGTATTTGGAATATTTGGTTCAATGATCAAACTTGTTTAGACGAGTATGGGTTGGGGGAAAAATTGATTCAGAAATCATTTATTATTTGTTTTGAAAATTTTGTAATGAGTTGAAAAGAGCCCTATTGAATCCGTTTCAAATTTGAATTTGTATCAACTTCACCCCTCGGAAGTCAGGGTTATGAAGAGCAGGGTGTAACACTTGCATTGTGTGGTCACAATAAATATGAGAATTCAAGTAATGAAGAAAATTTCTTTGAGCTTTTAAGATTTTTTGCTGATCACAATAAGAATATTAAAGTTGTTGTGTGAAATGAGTGATCAGTGGATGACACATAATTTGATTGTGTAAATAGAGAGAAGGACATTTTTGGTTGTATCAATAATGGAGTTATCATGTAAATGCTTTCAAAATATGAAAACCAGTAGAGATCAATTGTAAATAGTTACGTATAGTCTCATATATATCTTTGTAAAAGCATCAAATTAAAGCTTTTTTTCTAAATTTTTTGTTTCTATACCCTTATATTATATAAATTTTTAATAAATAGAAAACCAAAAATAAAAATTTGTAGTTAGTACCTATCCACGTATAAATTCCTAACTTCGTGATCTTAATTCTCTTGTACGAAGACCTTGGCACAACGTTGTGTTCTGTAACTTTTAGAGGGCATCTTAATAATAAATTACTAATGACACTTCATTTATCTAATTAATTGAAAGAAAGGACCCAACCGGGTGAAATGCCATAACCGGTCACCTTCAAGTCATCCAACCCCAACCACTGCATTGTACCTCTTCAACATTCGGCCCCCATGAAATATCCACATCCCCACCACCCCCACCATTTATTCATTTCCCATTCAGTCCCTCTCCCCCTCCCCCAATCCTTGCCATAATGTCATGGGGTCGTTTTTTTTAGTTAATGATGTGTGTGTGTGAGAGAGAGAGAGAGAGAGAGAGTCTGCATATTTATAAAGAGGGAAGAACTAAAAAGAAAAGTAGCACAGCACAAAGAAACTCTCCATCCTTCCTCAGAAGTAATGGCTTCCAATACTGTAGCCTATAGTGGCCGTGCCCAAATTGCTCAAAATGAGTCAGACACACCGTTTTCATCTCCTCTCTGGCCATCCTCTCGCCGGAGTCCGTCTTCATCTCCTTCTCTCTCCTCCAATTCATCTCTAGGATCACTCTCTTTCCATGATGATAATTCTCCAACTAGTCCCACCAACCCTCCTTTTAGATTCTCCGGAATTCCGTTTTCTTGGGAACATCTTCCTGGAATTCCCAAGCAACAACTTCTCAAGAAAAAGGACCCTTCATTAAATCTCCTCCCACTGCCTCCGGCTGGAACTCCGACCCCCTCCAAGAAATTCAATTACCAAAAAATTTCTCCAAACCCGAAGAAGTACAATAATGAAAGTTTTCGAAAGGATCCGTTTTTCGCGGCATTGGTGGAGTGTTCTAAGGATGATCGTGGCATTGACACCATTGGTAGTTTTTGGAAGGGCTCAAAGGTATCAAGAACATTAAGTGATCGTCTCGGGTTCACAGCCATGAATGCTTCTTGCAAAAGGACTTGTGCGGTTTCAGAGTCCATAGTTTATCTTCCAAGATCAAGCACCCATGCTCTTTTCAATAGTCGTTAAAGCTACGATCTATAAAAGGTCCATACCCGTTTGATTCCGAGAATAATCTCTATAGACAAGTGTTTATGTTTATAGTATGGAAACTCACTTTGAATGTGCCTATGTCTCCCTTCTATTTTCTCTCTCTTTCTTCGAAATTGTGTGGTATCTGCGAGAACAAGTCAACATATCGCCATATCACATAGTTACAATTTTCTGTATTACTTTTTACTAGGAACAAGTGTCAAATGTGATTTGTTTAGTATGTGAAGAACTGCGGTGGTTTGTCTTATTTGTAGACCATACGTTCTCTCTCTCTCTCTCTCTCTCTCTCTCTCTCTCTCTCTCTCTCATACATATATATATATATATATGATCCTTTCTGCATTCCATGTGGTGTTTTTTGGCAATTAGTGAAGATTACATAACCCCATGTGAGAGATAGGCACTGGACCGCAGTAGAAAAGGACAACCACATTAGTTAATTTAATCCACTAGCTAACAAGAGCAAGGGTTTGGCCAATTTGGTGAAGTTCTCTATGTGATTTAGCTGTCTGAAGAACAAATTGGAGATTGCAATATTTTGCTTTCAAAGTTCAAGTAAAAGCATAATTAGCGCGTAAGGAACTGTACCTGTATTTTGTTCTTTTTCTTGGCTTTTCATTGTTGTATGTTGGGCCAGCGCTTGTATTTTTGCTTGACTCTAGTGTTTCTTTTCCTTAATCTTCATCAACTGTCCCAATCATGGACCTTTTGGACTGTAGAATCGGGATGTACTGAAAGTCGAAAAAAGCCGGACTCTCTTGTGGTGCTTGAACTTGGAAGCTCAATTTATTAAAGTTCTGTCATCTCAACTAGCTTGATTTGTCAACCCTTATAACTCATCATAATTGTAAAACGAGCTTAGATCAGAGCTGTGTCTAATACACTCTAACAAATTACTTAATTACTTTCTCTCTTTTAGGCTACAAAAACTTGCCCAAGGGAATTTAGAAGTCATAATTTCCCTTGTAGACATCCGAGTTTTGAGATGTTTAATCATCGTCTAGTGATCAAGATCAAGGTCACATTTATACTTAAATCTGTCAAATTCTGGGAAAAACTAAACAAGAAATGAAGGCAATTCAAAGCCTTGGATCAATTCATAGATACAGATCCCACATTACACAGAACGGACTTATATCTTTCTATATAAAACGGGACTTTACTCTAAAGCTAACTAAAAAGAGCTTAAAAAAGAGTTCCCACTAAGTGTGTTGTAAATTTCAATTTTTGTTTTCTTGTGCAGTAGTAAAAGTGTCGAACTAACAACCATAAAATTATGGGTTTATACAAAAATACTTTATTTTTGCATAATCATGAAGTGACACAAGTTAAAAGAAAAATACAAGTGGTCACACAACAGCTACTTGCCTTTCTCTTCTTCAGTTTTATGGCCTTCCTATTTTTTGTGCAAAATAAGAATTTTGGTAGAAACTACAAAGCAATAGGGGCAAAGTGAGCCAAAGTGTCACCATAGAAGCAAGGTTCATGATATAGGTCACATTTATTTGATATTATTCTTTTCAATTTGGTAGGTAGGCTTACTTATTGTATTATTTAATAAGTTTTGCAACAATAAATTATCACGAGTTTAAAAAATATATGCAAATACGATTCCTAGCTAATTGATCTTATTCAATAAGTTTTAATGGTAATTCAAGGTTAACAAAATATATGAATCCTAGTTGATCTAAGACATGTTTTGCTAGTAATTAGAAACATTCGGAATTTGTGTTATAGACACGAGATTAAAAGATGTGAAAGGCAAAAAAAGGACCCCACGTGCATAGTGGTAGGCAGCAGACCGGCTTCAACCCCTTAAAATCGGATCCTTGCTTGTGGATGGACTTCATTTGTGCCTTTTTACTACTTTTTGTGTTGCATATGATGAAAATTCGAGTGGGCATTTTCTTTTTGTCAATTTTGTAACACCGAAGTGCAAAAAGAAGTTGTGCTATGATGAAGAGAAGAGATCCACCCAATCCTTTGTGCCTAGCTCAATTGAGTGGCAACTATTTGGTATCATGGCAAAACTTTAATTTATTTATTTATATATATAAAAAAAAAATCAAATTATGACAAGAGTGCATGAGAAGTGCTCCATGCTATTCCAATTTTTTAGTTGTTACATTAAAAAAAAAAGTTTTATCTAATCAAATTCCACCGACGTTGCTCATGATAATCATTGCTCATCTATTTTTTTTTTTTTGTGTAAACGAAATCAATTCTTATGCTTTTTGTTTCGTATCTCCCTACGACTCTCCATCGCAAATGCTGTCTAGTTCAGTATTGGGTAGTTTTCAACAATATGGAATGTGGTGTATGTGTCTTGGGTGGAGTGTAAGGGTGATACCAAGGCAAGAGATTGTGAAGAGCGTAAATCTCGTGCATTGCACGGTCTCATCTAATTAATGATCGCTTATATGAAATCAAGTCACCTAAATAGAAGCATTCAGACAAGGAATGGGTCAACAATATAGAATATGTCCATACTAACTTTAAGATTAATAATTACAAGAAGGATTTGATTATCAAATTTGATGAGGGTTGTCATCAAGTTCTTGAAATCATCATGTCTACTTCTTTTCTCCCCTTTTGAAAACGGTAATATAAAAATAAGATAGTTGCAAGGATAAGTAAGAATCTAGGTTTGAAGTGGTTATAGAGATGCTTATAAGATAGCATCGAGGTTGGCAGCTAATTTGCTTGTGCTTGTCATGTGTATGATAGGTTGGCTCATGGTGTAACCCACAATGCCCTTCTTTCTTTTATTTTTCGATAAATGGTACTGACACCTCTTGCATGGGAATTCCAACAGGTGATTAAAATCAATTTGCATAAGCAATTTGGTCAAAACTAATAAAAATTACTCAAAAAGAAAAATAAATCGGTAAAAAATTAGGCATAAATGGTCAAAGGTCAACATTCTTTTTCACCCTTTTTGTCAAGAGTAATGTTATTAAGACTTAATTCATTCTGACATTTAGATTAACTGTATGGCCCATCAAATATTAAAATTTGATATTGATGCAATGATTCTATTAAAATCACATCATTATATCAACAAATTAAATTAAAATTTTAAATTTAAATAATATTACTCTTCCGTCAATCCCCCAAGCACAAACGCTGTCCAATCCCCCAACACTCCAACCCACGCTCGATGGCAACATTGTCCTTGTCAATTCATTTGATCTCTTTACTTTCATTGGGGTGCTGTGGTGGGTGTTGGGGGTTGGGGTGGTAAATCTCGTGCATTGCGTGGGCAGTCTAGGGATGATATATAACAAAATCAAGTCACACGAAAGTTATATTAAAATGGTTCCTTTCACCTATGCTAATAATTTAGACCCCAAAAAAATAAAAAAAAACCTATGGCAATAATAATAAAAATAAGGATTTGACTATGAAAGTTTATTATGTGCTTGTCAACTTGCTATACAGTCATCATGTCTACTTGTTTTCTCCGGTCTTGGAAAAAGTAATACAAAAATATGAAACTTTATTTACCAACAAGAATTTTAATAATAGCAAGCTTAAGAATATAATTTGAAGTGTTTATATGAGATACCATATGGAAAGCATCAAGGTTGGCAGTTAATTTTCGTATGCATGTACTATCACACAATACCAGCACTACACACAAGCATTTCCCTTATGTCAGCTACTGTCATGTGATTGCCACTACACACAAGCATTTCCCTTATGTCAGCTACTGTCATGTGATTGCATTGGGTTCAGTTGCTGAAGCCACCTGCCTACAAGATAGTCTGTAAGTTATTTAGTCCTACCTGGCATTGTAACTAAGATTGGTTATAAATACTTGTATACTGAACTAAAAATGTGAATGGAAAATATTTGTTTCTCTTAGTTTCTTTGTGTGCCTCTGTCTTCTTCTTCAAGCTTTCTATGGAATCTATCATGGTATCAGAGCTATCTTCAAAGACAAGTGTCTGATCTGATGGCAGTTTCTACTAATTCTTCTTCATCTTTTACCTGTTCATCTACACCTTCAACTACAGATTCTTTTTCCTCACATTCATCTATATACTTACTCTCCAATATCTGCAATCTTATTTCTCTTTGGCTTGATTCTTCCAATTATGTCTCTTGGAAATTTCAGATCTCAACTCTGGTATGAGCTCATTCTTTATTCAGTTTTCTTCATGGATCATTTCCTTGTCCATCTAAATATATACTTGATGAGGCTGGCTCCAGAGATCAATCCACAATATCAGCAGTGGATTATTCAAGATCAAGCTCTTATGACACTTGTTAATGCCACACTCTCTTCCTCTGCTATTGCACATGTTGTTGTCTATACTACATCTCAGGATGTATGGCTTGCATTGGAAAGAAGATTTTCATCTCAATCCAGAGCTAATATTCAACAACTTAAGTCTCTGCTTCAAACTATCACCAAAGGTTCAGATTCCATTGATATTTACTTGCAGAAAATCAAAGAGGCTAAAGATAAGCTTCAAGCAGTTTCGGTTATAATTCAAGATGAGGATATAATGTTGTATACACTCAATGGTTTACCACCTGAATATAGTGCCTTTCGAACAGCAATTCGAACTAGATCTAAGCCTCTTTCTCTGGAGGATCTTCATTCTCTGTTGAAGGCAGAAGAAATTTCTGTTTTAGCATCTTCTAAATCATCCCCAACTTTTTCAATCCATCAGCTATGGCTCCTCCACAAGGCAAAATATATGATCCTAATTTTCCTCGTCCCAATTCTGGTTAAGGCAGAGGTTTTTCTAGTTACAGGAGTCGTGGATCAAATCGAGGAGGCAGAAACAATTATGGGAACAAATCTCATTCTCAACAATTTCGATCTAATACTGTCTCACAGAAGCATCAGATTTATTGTCAAGTCTGTGAAAAGTTTGGTCACAGTGTTGTTAGCTGTTATCATCACATGAACAGTGCCTATCAAGCTCCATCTCCACCTTCTCCTCCTTTCAATGCTATGGCTGCTTCTTTTAAATACTCTTCCTGCAATACTTAGCAATCACTCTTACCTACTGTTTCTGACTTATCTTCTCAGTATTCTGCTATGACTGCGTCCACTAGTCCCTCCACTCCTAGCTACTGGCTCACTGATACTGGTGCTTCACATCACCTAACCTCAAGACTTGAGGATCTTTCTCTTTCCTCTCCTTACTTTGGAGAAGATAAAGTTTCCATTGGCAATGGTCATGAACTACCTATTACACATACAGGTCATACCTTTCTTCA